CACTGACTGACTTGGTATGACCACATTTGTCCAAGTTCATCGGGAAGTCACTGGTACCTGGTGGAAGGTGTGCAGTCCTGCGTCCTAAACTAGAGAAGTCATTATAATTTCCAACGTCAGACAGCTGACTTGGCACATTTTCAGAGGCTTGAACCAACCATCTTTGACTGAGTCTTAGCCTCTTGTTGTGGGAAACTGCTATAGTGATACCCTTTCGGAGGTTTGTCTTCTGCGCCAAACGATAACCGATTAAGAAAGGGTAACTTATGTATGAAGGCCAAGATGTAAGAGCCTCTATTTTGATCCCAGTCTCATTTCGATGTATAGAAGTTGCCTGACTTCGTTTTCGCAACTTAGTCGTTTTATCACCTTATCCGAAGTCCTCTGTTATAGTCCTCATCTTATTGACAAGTTGCATCTTGGTGCTTAGAATGGCAAGATTCACTGATGATGCCGACTACGAGGCCGGCGAAACGAATAGATCTATGAACCAAATGTGAATAAGGTTAGAAGCATAATTGAGTCAGTCAATAAAATCAACTTTTTAGGTGAAAATACACACATGTACATTCACTTTATCATAGTATTTCTATCTTTCAGGAATATTTACTTCAAGCATCACTTCATACTCTAATTATTTTTATTTTAATGATTACCTAAGCTGTTATTTTGATATTATTCTACTTAATTTCGTTTAGCTTTTGAAAATATTATATCGTATGTTCAATTTCTGCCGTATGCTTATCCACACTAACCATCGGGCCCTGTAGCATTTATATTCACCTAACCCTTTCCGAATATGCCGTTTTTAAACCGACATAAGAGCAATCACATCAGCTCATTATTGGCAATGAATACAATATCTCTTTAAAAGTGTGCATAACTAAGGAAAGCGTCATGATTTTTTTTAAATTATTTCTATTCCCCCTTTTTTTCTATTTTTTTAAGGAGGACATTATCACAATGGTAGGACATGTCTATCTGATAAGGTCGACTGTCTTGCATTTTGTAAAAGATTATTACTTTACACTAAGCCTAGATAGTAAGTATTTAAAATAAGTTAATGTTTCAGCCCATCCAATTTTCCGTCTATCGGTAATTTCAAGATTCATATAAGCATTAATATACAACTCAACATGTCTTTATTAACCAAAGTCGGATATCATATTACAATTCCATTGTTACCTTCACATTTTTCAAGCTGGTTATGTGAAAGCAAGAAGCTATCACCACATTTTGACTAATGTCATTAGAAAGGGAGAAAATTCTAAAATATTTTCTTTGGTATTTATTAACAAAGCTTCGTTTCAAAGATTCATGATAGAGTGATGTTTAATAGGCGAGTGGAATAGATTCGCCCCTTGCTCACCTCGCTCCTTCAAACTAAATAAAAGCTACGACAGCATTCTACATTTATCTCGTCTGAGAGCAGAAATTAGCTAAAAGTTGTATCTAATTTGATTTTCCATAGTCTATGAAGTCGCTCTATCTGAGCCTATGCTCATCATATTTCACCGATAAAGATTAAAAATTAGAATTTTCTGTACGGTCGAGAGCCCCGTAAATCAGACATTGCCTTTTCTATATGTCTGATTGCATTTTTATTCATTTTCACACCGTCAATAGCTGACATGGGCGGTCGGAACCATTCCAGCTCCAGCGGTTCTGTTTCGCCAAACTCCTGTGGATTACATTCGAACCCACATCACCGGAATAATCTTCTCCTGGATGGATCATCTGCCTATCTAGACGTGGGTTTGAATGCATCCGCGGCTAGCGCCAATGGTCGTCGACGTGTCGATCCTGCAGTTGAGCACTCGACCAGTTCGCTCGGCTCAGGCCGCAAGGCGCCTAAGCAACCGGTCGCCAAGCCAACTCAGACAGGACCGGGCTGCCGATTCGCCATGAAACGCTCCGATACTGGCCGACCGGGACGACAAAGAAGCAAATTCCCGGCAAACGTGTCTGTGAACGAGCTCGCCTGGTCCCACACCTCTGAAGGTGGCAATCGAGGCGGGCAAATTGATCGCAATGGGGAGGAGGAGGGCGAAGAGGATGAGGTGGACGGAGATGACTGCTTGGCAACAGCCGAGTCAGAGCATGTTGCCATGACGTCGGGAGGCTGTCTGGTTGGAACTGCTGAGACTGTCAACAGCTCCGGTGGCGACAACTGTAACATGCGATCTTGCGGCTCCACCAACAATTCGGTTGGAGGGAATGAATTCGTTTTGATGCGTCAGCGAACGAAACGGAAGCCGCGAATCCTTTTCTCGCAGACTCAAGTCTACGAACTGGAGCGCCGATTCAAAACGCAGCGCTACCTTTCAGCTCCAGAACGAGAGCAGGTGGCCACGCTCCTGAAGATGTCTCCTCAACAGGTGAGAACACTTTCAAATGACTAACTTTATCACCTTCTTGCGAAAAACATCGTCTCGAAGTAGAATTGAGGCAGTGATCCTCAGAATTTCAGTCGCCAATAGGCATCAATTTGGTGTTTTATCATCCAGTGGATGCTCGGTAGGTTATCTTCAGGACGTCCCTTCAATGTGTCATGGACAGATTCAAGATGGATGCGATCAACCAATTATAATACACAAGCATTCTGTCGAGTTGAGTAGAAATGTATAACTACGCTCTGAATACTCATGCTCCTTAGTCGAATGGTGGGAAGGTACACTTGAATAGGAAAAGTCAGTGTCCGTTTTAAGGAGGGCAGCTCGGTGTAGTCTTTCAGAAGCTGTGTTCACGATTCTCTAGGCTTCGGTCAACCTGTCCATCCATGTTTAGGTATTATAAATCAACCACTCACAAACAAACATTGCTATGAGTTAGCCTATACCTACAGATTTATTGAAGGAGTGATTGATGAATGAGGCTTGACGCTAAGGCGGCAATGCCGTCTCCTCTAAATTGCCTATTAGTGGTCAAGCCAACGAAATGTGGATCATGAAAAGGCATAAGACGTTTGAAGCTGTGATGATAGGACTCATATATTAACGGATAGACAGAATTTCCCATCCCAAGGGGCTTGCTGTGATTTCTCTTCAGGTCATGTCCATCGGACCGGCCTATTCGGCCGTCAGCTACTCGGCAAATCCCATTATTTCTCCTACTTCTCATGTTCTCTCATTATCCATCTTCTTACGAGCGTACACACGCATACCTACAAGCAGAGAAGCTAGGCAATTTGCATGTGCATGCGCCCCTCGATGGGCTCACTAATCCTATCTTTAGGATGTTCAGCCACTACCCCGTCCCCTCCACACAGATTCCTGACAAATGTCACTTAAGGCTGCTACAAGGCTGCGGCAACTTTTGGACAGGAACTTTCGAGACAAGAACCATGAATTTTCGCTTCACAGGATTACAGGGATCTCTTCGCCCGCTAATTCGTGTAGGCCTGCCAGTGAATGCATTTGTGTATTTGTG